AAATCAAAAGAGTTTCGTGACCTTTAAAATGTAAACATGATAGAAAATAGCAATGTATTGATTGGGTGACATGATATCAAGAGTGGATAAAATTTAAGGTTTTCAAGCTTTAAAATTATAACCCTAACACCGTAAAAAAAAAACTCTAATATTTTATATAAAAAAAAAGTCTAAATAATAATCTTTAATCTTATAAAATAGCTTATAAGGTTGTATTTCTAAATAGAAAAAAATCTAAATAAAATAAGGAAAATAAAAAATATCTTTAAAAGTAATTTATGTGCTTTATTTGAAGCTCTTACCAATCTCCTATGACTATGAAATTATGAACCTCTGGATAATAAGGCCTTATAAATTTTTATTAAAATTTTAGATTAATCTAATGATTGAATTAAAAGTTATATTTGTTTTATTAAACTGCATGTTGGACTCTTTTAAAACTCCTTAAAACCTCAAATATCTTAATAATTAAAAAAATAATACAATAAAAATAATTATGCAAAAAGTAATAAAGAAAGCACCCCCATGTTATTCCATTCTTCTTGAGAAAAACTCACCCTCAAGTTAATTGTTAGAAAAATAAACTCGATCATACAAAAAAAAATGGATACATCAAATATAGCATTTGTCACCAATTTATACTTAAGCTAGCTAGCTTTAAACATTTTAAATTTAATTTTAGCAAAGATATATTTATATATAATTTTATAATCTAAACAAAACTTATTGAGAACTAAAAAGTCAAAGTCACATAATGCATCTTTTAATGTGATGCAAGCTTTAGTTAATGTATCTAGTCATTCCTAACAGTAAAGTCTTAGCCACCACTTGAACCGGTAATTTTAAAAGATGAACCCAATATAGATACATTTGGTTCGGATGACACATCCACGCTTGATTCCTCTTTGATCCACAACAAAATTTGTAACCTAGCTGAAAGAGTACAGTAGACAAAGAGTGAGACGAGATTCAGGCAAGTTTTCAAATGGAAGGCAAATGAGTGAAGTTGGGTTCTGTTTTGTAGTCCTTACGGTGCTAGGGTTCTTGGTTTTGGATCCAAAATCTGGGGAGTGTGCATTTAGCATCCAACTGAACCCATGCTCGCTTTCACAGTGCATTGTCGAATGCCAGAAAGCCTTACAGGTAAAGTATCTCTGTACAACTGGGTCTCGGGGAAAATCCTTCGTAATTCCACACACAAAAGGTCAGTTCATATATATATATATATATATAGTTGTATTATTATAATTATCACTCTTTCTCCATGTTGCCAAAAACAGGTCTAGATGGCGAAACAACTTAAAAAGTGAAGATGTTGGCCCCCACCTACCTATCTAAATTATTAATTGATAAAATCCATGTAAGATCGTGCAAATCTTACTTCACACACCTATCTAAACGAGCAGGGCTATGTCCTTGTTTTTTGGTGTGAAGGCTGGTGGCTTGGCAATCAGGCCCGCAAATCCATTATAACCCCGAGTATGAACCCAGAACAACATGAAACTTTTAACCTAACGCATAAGAACCTCTGCGATTAAATTCTTATCAACAAATCAAAAAGCTTACAAATCGAGGGATAAACACCATATTCAACTCTCCCTTCGTTAAGGCCTTTAGATTTAAGCATTTAGCCAACTCTAACATTTATTTTTATGTTTTAAAAATATTTAAAAAATTAATATTTTTTATGTTTTTAGATTATTTTGATGCAATGATATTAAAAATAATTTTTAAAAAATAAAAAATATTATTTTAATACATTTCTAAATTAAATTTTTTTTAAAAAAATCACAACCAAACTTCCAAATATTATTTTAAATCAACTCTTTAATGAGGAAATTTAATCTTAACGGGGCAAAGGTTAAAAAATGTTGTAGTGAGCATGATGTTTCCTTTTAAAAAATTTGTGAAGAGCTTAGATTGAAAAATCAAGGGAGAGCTAATAAAGTGGATTCACGTGCTCTTCTTCTAAGAAAAGGTAGATTCACGTGCTGCCAAAAACATTCTAAGATGGACACACTTGAATAAAAGAAGCAAAGTAGATGGCTTTTTAGGAGACATACCGTTCATCGAACGAAACTTCGTGATATAGAATAATGTTGAAGCATTTCCGCCATTTTATTGTTTATATATAATTTAAAATATTAATTTAATAGACATAATTTAAATTCAAATTCACAAATAAACT